CACACACACAAATTCTTTATAAATTACAGTAATGTATAACGTTTTAATATTTTAATTAACAGTGTCGTCTCATTTTTATATAAAGAGTGATTCATGTATTTAATATATTGCCTGTTGCCCAGCCCTGTGTGAGGTGCAGTCTTGCAAGATTGCTCTTCAGATACAATGCATCTCTTTTTTTCTTGGTGTTTTCATCATTGGGCTTGTTAAGTCACGCTGTGCTGCCTGTATTGTGGTCAGTCAGCCCCTGTAGCGCTCTGGAGAACAATGCCGAGGGGAGTTTCAACTGAAGGACAGACCCCCCTCCTGCTGTGATTAAAGGTGCTCAGGCCTGTCATTACCTCAGAGCACAGAGACTGACTCACAAAGGCTCAGGGCTTTGATTGGCTCTACATGAGAGACGCGCTGCGTGTCAGTCTGTGAGGTAATGCACTCAGTCTGATCACACGTGTTATTCACTCATCAGGGAGGGTTCCTGAGTGTGTGAAAGTCATGCACTTGAAAGGATTGAGGATGTCCGTCATTATCTGTTGATGTGAAGACATCATGGCTTATGCTAAAGAAGTGAATGTGTAGCTATATTATAATCTTTAATGATTCAAAAGTGTGTCATGAAGCAGAATTAATGCTGCTGGATAATTATTAGTTATAATTATAATTTTAAACTATTTTCATGGTTCATTTGCTTGGTCCAAACTCAAGATTTCACCCCCATCTTCAGCATTATACCACAATATAGTATAGTAACTAGGAGCCTTTAAATTTTACATCATCAATCGACGTTCACTTCAGCAATTTAGCACAGATGGATCATATGAGCAATTAAATTTCTTTCTTTCTTTTGCAGTTTTATGCATGTTTATTTCAAATACCCTACTTATTGTATGCCTTGAAAGCGATGCAAGTCACTTTGGATAAAAGCATCTTCCGAATGCATAAATGTAAATGCAAAGCATGTTTGCCTAAAAACCAGTTAAATACTAACCATATTTTCTTGCAGATTTGATCACTATTCTTCATCAGTAGTAAACAGTGCATGCAAACTAAATTGTACATTCAGCTTAATTAGGACCAGATTACTGTGAATTATAGATGCATCCACTTTTCCTGCTATGAAACTCCACATTCTTAAATAAATTGAGTTTTCCTCCTATTTTTGCATTTGGCAGATGGTTTTATCCTTCTTGTAAATATGATAATCCTGACATGTCTTGAAGGCCGCATACATTAGTATTTTTCTGTGAAAATGTATCAGTGTAGGTTAATGTGTGTCTTAAAGGCGTCAGATTTCATCCAGTGTAATCGGACGACACTCTACAGAGATTTCCCATATTCTCTTCCTCTGTGGTGCCCGCTGGCGCTGTGTGTGTGTGTGTGTGTGTGTGTGAGAGAGTGTGTGTGTGTGTGAGTGAGTGTGAGTGAGTGTGAGTGAGTGAGTGAGTGTGAGTGAGTGAGTGAGTGAGAGTGAGTGAGTGTGAGTGAGTGAGTGAGTGAGAGTGAGTGAGTGTGAGTGAGTGAGTGAGTGAGAGTGAGTGAGTGTGAGTGAGTGAGTGAGTGAGAGTGAGTGAGTGTGAGTGAGTGAGTGAGTGAGAGTGAGTGAGTGTGAGTGAGTGAGTGAGTGAGAGTGAGTGAGTGTGAGTGAGTGAGTGAGTGAGAGTGAGTGAGTGTGAGTGAGTGAGTGAGTGAGAGTGAGTGAGTGTGAGTGAGTGAGTGAGTGAGAGTGAGTGAGTGTGAGTGAGTGAGTGAGTGAGAGTGAGTGAGTGTGAGTGAGTGAGTGAGTGAGAGTGAGTGAGTGTGAGTGAGTGAGTGAGTGAGAGTGAGTGAGTGTGAGTGAGTGAGTGAGTGAGAGTGAGTGAGTGTGAGTGAGTGAGTGAGTGAGAGTGAGTGAGTGTGAGTGAGTGAGTGTGTGTGAGTGAGTGTGTGAGCGTGAGAGTGAGTGAGAGTGAGTGAGTGAGTGAGTGTGAGTGAGTGTGTGAGTGTGTGTGAGTGTGAGTGAGCGAGTGAGTGTGTGAGTGAGTGTGTGTGAGTGTGTGTTGTGACGTGACATATGCACGAGTGCACCATCCAGGTGTTTTCAGGTCGTTGTGGCTTGTGCTCAGCAGATAAAGCAGGATTGTGTGTGAGCAGCGAGCTGTGCAGTCTGAACGAGCTAACGGATACACACTTCAGCTCCAGCATGTTTAAACGCACTTTCACAGGGAGAAATATGACCATGTGCACTGCAGATTTTTGAGAGTGAAGATGAAGCAGTTTGATGAAAGGTGACAACTGTAACTTTCCATATTTTATGGAAGAGTTATCATCATTAACTAAAACTAAAACCATTCTCATTACTTGAAATAAAATAAACATGAACTGAAATAAAATATAAAAAAACATAGACATAAATATAAATATTTAAAATATAAATAAAAACAAATATAAAAAAAAACGTATTTTATTTCAGCCAAGGCAACATTTCTCATTTTTGTTGAAGTGCTAAAATAACTTAAATTAAAAACTAAAACTTAATAAAAATTATTCAAAAAACAAAAAATTACTAAAACTTTAAAATTTAAATTAAAACACAAAATACTAAAATAACTAAAACTTAGTATAAACTGTATAGGCATTTAAAAAAACTACTAAAAAAGACAAATAAGTTACTAAAACTAATCTTATAGTCTATGTAGATATATATATATAAAAAAAAGAAAAACAACAAAATTACTGAAACTTTAAAACTAAAATGAAAACAGAAAATACTAAATAATTAAAACTATCTAGACATATTTAAAAAAATATAAAACTTTAAAATGAAAACGTACTACAAAGTAAAACTAGACATTTAAAACAACAAAAACTATATAAAAAATACCCAACAAAATGACTAAAACTTAAAAGAATAAGATGAAAACAGAAAATACTAAAACTACTAAAATAGTAAAACTTAGTACAAACTATATAGACATTTAAAAAAAAAAAAAAATTGCTAAACCTTTAAATGTATTGGAGTGTGCTTAGTATTCTGGATGTGGAGTGTGTGAGAGCCTGAGGGAAGCGTTCAGTGCTCCGTGAAGCTCTTTCAGAGGACTGATGATGATCATCATCTCTGTGTGTAGGTGGAGCAGACCAGCAGGCCTGACCTCGTCCTGTTCCTCATGAAGTACCTGATGCTGCTGGTGGTGGGGATCCCGTCGGTGTTCTGGGTGGGCAGTAAGAAGACCTGCTTCGAGTGGGCCGGCTTCTTCCACGGCCGCAGGCGGAAAGAGTGAGTTACAGTACCTTCCTCATTCACAGGAGAAAAGACTCCCGATTCATTTCAAACTAGACATGATCAAGTGGTACTGTGTTTACAAGATGATGTTTTTTGGACGAATGTAATGTATTTACTGCCATCAACAATTTTATTTAGAAAGCTTTCTAAAATATCAAAAGCTAAGAATAATCATGCATAAAGAGGCATTGATACTTTGGGAAAAAAATTAATTTGTAAAATAATATCTGGAGAATATTTAGTTTCCTCTAAATTGACACAAATGAAGTTTTCCCTTTGTGCTGTAATACGTAATATATAATTAATATCAAATTTAACATTTATATTATTAAACAAAATATTATATAAGGTTATGAAAAATTCTATATTATCTTATAACTACATAAAACAATTATTATATATTTGTTTATTTTAAATTTTTAGATTTAAGAATAAAATTTAAAATACATTATATATAATACATTATATGTATTATAGTCATATTATTTTTATATAATTATATATATATATACACATAAAATAACATATATTTTACATTTTTAGATTTAAGAACTCTGGATTCTAAAATTCTGTGATATATAATTAACTATGTAATATAATATTAATAATGTATTTATTTTATGTAAATTTTTAGATGTAAGTGCTATAATAAAATTATATATTAATAAAATATTACATATTTATATTTTTGTAAATGTTAATGATTTATTCTGCTTGTCTAGCAATTAATCACCTTTTAACCCTTTAAACCCGAAAAAAAAAAATCATAATCAAATTACTAAGAAACCACTGAATGGAATAACACAAAGGTATTATTTTAAAGCTTAGAAACTCAGTTTTTTAATGAATTTAATTATTTTGATCAACTCTTAACGAGTGCGGAGTAGTCCCTCTAAAACCAAGTGTACCCCCCACGAAAAAGTTTCGTAAAAATACAGAAAGTTTTCTGTCAAACTATACCTAACTTTTGACTCTCCTTGCTAAAGTTTTGGAGTTACGAGTCATTATTTTTGTCACTCATAAAAAACAACACCTTCAGGGATGCAAAAATGCCTTCAGGGCTTAAAGGGTTAATATCTCTTTTAAATTGTAGTTTATTTACCTATATTTGAACTGATTTTACCTTGTTGTTGCAATGAAGATTCCATAAAACAAGCAGCTAAATGAGTGTTTCTCTGGTATCCAGCAGCGGCGCAGTGAACGAGAGCCGGCAGGTTCTGCAGGAGCCAGACTTTGCACAGTCTCTGCTGCGAGACCCAAACACTCCCATCATCCGTAAATCCCGCGGGACGTCCACTCAGGGCACGTCCACCCACGCCTCCTCCACACACCTGGCCATGCTGGACGACGTGCGGAGCAAAGCCAGCAGCGTCCACAGCAAGATGAGCAGCTATCATGGCAGCCTGCATCGCTCCAGAGACGGCAGGTCAGGTCAACAGCAGCTCAGCACTCGGCTTCAAACTTCATGCACCTAAATATGATGATCCGCTCATGCTTATGCATACAGTATACTCATGTTAAAGTCCCCCTGTGGTCAAATATTTGATCCCTTAAAACTGATCTTTGATCATCAAAATGACATATTTAAATGTTTTTTCTTGTGAAAATAATTTTCTCATGCCTTAAAATAGCTTGAATGTAACTATATATCCTTGCCTCATTTACTATGCGCGGATCGATGAATATGCAAATTAGTCCCGCCTCCACTCAGTCACACCAGCCAGCCCAGTGCCTCCTGATTCACTGAACTGTAGTAAACGCAAGTAGCAAACCGAGGGCAGTTTCAAACCATATTTCTGGGTCAGCCTTTGGGAAACTACAGTTTTAAGGAGAAAATACTCAGCAATGGTGTTGATTAATGGACTGGCACATGGGTTGTCTAAAGGCATATTAAAAACACCACATAGACAAATAAACAACATAAAAAAACGTAATTTTCACTACGGGGGACTTTAAGACATGTATACTATATAGCAAATCTGCTTGATTGTAATATTGTTGCAAAATGTAACTAACTATATTATCATCAAGCTCTTTATATAAAATATGGGTTACGTTTTATTTTAAGGTGTCCTTGTTACAGTGTAATTATGCATTTAAGTACCGAGTAATATTAATTAACTACATGTACTTACTATATGGTTAGGATTAGGATTAGGGTTACTTGCATGTAATTATGCATAATTAATTGTTATTATAATAGTAAGTACATGTAACGTGTAACAAGGACACCTTAAAATAAAGTGTTAACAAAATATGTAACTATGTCCAGCTTTATCCGCATACATGTATTAATCTTGTATAGGGCAATATATAGCAAAAACTACAGTATATAGCAAAACTCAACTGCTTGATTTCTTGTATTGTTTCTAGGCTCTAATCTATATATATGAAGATATTAAGATATTTAATTTTCAGTCAGGAATTGCTAGTAAATTTCACAGTTAATTACATAGAAACTGCAAGTACATTGAAGTAAATGTGAAATTTTGAAGTAGAAAGACTGAAATAGTACTTTTTTGAAATGCACTGCAATAATCTGTTTTATTTACAACTTTGAAAAAAAATTATAGTGTACAAATAAAATTGGTTTGACTTGACAAGGGGCCCCTCTCTAAAAAGAAGAAAGGGATCTATATACTTTCATGTATAAAGGAAAATTGTACTGTGGAAAAAAATAGTGTGTATAAAATATCTGAAAAATATTTAGGTATCAGAGCGCTTTTAGTAAGCAGAATGAAACAGTATTGTCAAATTCTGTACATTTTGTGTAAAAAGAAAAAAAAATGGTGGAAATATTTAAACTCTTAAAATATTTCAAATCTTAGAATTTATAATTTTATATATAATTTGATTATATAATTATTTTATAATTTAATAATATATAACTTTAATAGATATGCCTTAGTGTATGTGTATATTTATATTATAAATATAAAATATTTATAATATATAATATATATATATATTTTGTAGAAAAGAATATTTTATTAAATTATGAAAAATAAAATTATATAATCCACTGCTCATTAAAACAAAAATATATTGTATATAAAAATATACTTTGTAAATATTTAAGTTCATAATTTTATAATATTAAATGTGTGCATGTTTATATACACAAACACACAAAATTGTATATTAATAAATAATGTAAATTCAGTTATGTAGCTAAAATGTATATTTAACATATTTCCACTCATTAAGTATTTTTTATAATCTAAATATATTAATATACATTTTATCAAATGTATAATCAAATATATATTAAAGGGTTAGTTCACCCAAAAATGAAAATTCTGTCATTAATTACTCACCCTCGTGTTGTTCGAAACA